TCAAATTCTCTTTCCAACTGAAGTATCAAGCTGGGGTTAGCAAACATCTCTGCTGCCAATTTGTTTTCTAACCTTGTAAAAACTGGTTATATAGATTCTGATGGTATATAAGTCATCATTACTAATACTTATCTTGTACTTTCAAATGTAAAAAAGTACTCTAGAAATGCCCAAACAACAACAACAAAAATCTTATGGAATCGAATTTAACATGATCAACTAATTTTTACTTTGTGTTTTTTTTTTCTGATCATCACAAACTGCAAAAATTCTTGGTGTTTGTATATGTGTGTGTCCACAATCATTCTATCTATCTATCTATCTATACAGGTATACACATGCATACTAACCCAGAGGCTCATTCAAGCATCACCTGTCAAGAGAAAAATCTGCCAACTATGGGATGACAGAATGAATATAATCTGACACCAATTTGGTTGATATATCCCTTTTTATATACTAATTGTATCCTAAAATATTTTTTTAAAATCAAGGCGAATGCCATTATTGATCAAGAATTAGAAACAGGAAGAAAAATAATTAAAGTAAGTTAAAATATCAGTTGTGTAACTTTAAAAAATTACTTTAATTTTCTAGGATTCATGCTAAGTACTTGGTGGCCTTCAACATAAATTGCAACTACTTAATTTATGTAGTTTAAAAATTATGTAGAGAAAAAATTAAACAATATTGATACGAGGTCTGTGTTTAAACAAATTATTTTTGTTAAGGTTTCATTTCAATTTTACTACAACAAACACATGGATATGAAAATAAATGTAAAACAAAATATAAGTAAATAGTTAATACTTTTACAATAGACAAAAATACTAGAATACAAAGTTATCTTAAGAAAGTTTTTTTTTATGTGAAGTCTCTGTACGGACAAGAGCTTACAAATACACATAAAAATAACAACTATTGTTTGTATAATTCTAAGCATTTACAAAACATGTTTTCATACATTATCTCATTTACTATAAAGAATTTCTGAACTAAATAGGTTCCATTATCTACAAAAGTATAGTGAAGATATTTATTATAAAATTACAGTACAAGCATCCCAATTGTATATATAACTGTTTTTCAACTAATTATTTTCTGAATTGCTTTGATAGTTATCACAGAAAATTATGTATCATTTTAAAATTGACTTGAATTTAGATCCTAAGCTCTAAAGTTTCTCTATTTGAAACGTCTGTGTCATTCTAGAATAAGGGGAAAAACAAGTTTACCAATGTTATGTTTTTTGATGACTACTTTGGTTTTAACAAAAATCTGGTGACACTATAATCATGTATTTGCATCGTCCCTACTATGAAAAGGAGTATGCAATTCCAAAGAGAGAGACAACATTGACTGGGAAGTTAAAATACAGTAGGCTACCTGGTACATCCCTAAAATGTTGTAAATTATATCCGTCCATCCAGGAATCACAATAATTACTTAGGCTGTAGTTCCTGCCATATCCATTTATTTGCCTTGGAAAAATTTTGACATTCCTCTCTGAAAACTGGTAAGCTTCATAAACTGTAGTTGAGAAATCTAGACAAATCAGTCTGTTTTACACAAATTAATACAATTTGGATTTATCTCAGAAGACTGGAACCACTGTTGTTTTTTTTTTCAGAGCTAAGTTTAAAAGAAAAATGGACCCACTGAGGTCCCTGCTTTAGCCTATTAAAGGCACTTCAACAGTAGAGATTCTCAGTTTTTTAGCCGTTTCAAAGAAAGCAGAATAACCAAGGAAAAGGTTCTGACCCAAAGCACCATACTAATGAGGTCAAACCTATTGGCTGGGGAGAAAACCCGTTCCTAGTTTTCACACGACAACATTGCAAAATGGATTTCAACTCCTTTGTCAGGTTAAAGGAAAGAGACTTCCTTTGAGGACTTAGAGATGATGCATAAATACTTTGAGAGCCACAGTGGGTCCCATTCTCTTAAATAGTTGTTTAATTTTTTCTTACAAATTTTCATCCCCCTTTTATGGGCACTTATATCTGTATCTCCTACCTAACTCCTCCCCCCAAAACATGTTTAATATAAGACAGCAGTTCTAAGAATGAAGTCACAATAATTCAGTATTTTATGATACTCAAATTGTTATTACAATTTTATCAATTGCAGGGGGGGGAACCTTCAATAAAATTAATCAGTGTGGATATGCTATGTCTGTGACAAAGATTTTTAAAATTGATTTTTCTCCCTAAGAATACATACTAAGCATTCTCAGCATTAGGTGAGTCAACCTAAATGAAGCCTCAGTCATGCAATTTTTCTTTACATAAATGACAAAATAAGGAATATACAGTCTTGCAGATAAACATACATAAATGAAAAGACCATTCACAAATTTCTAAAAAAAGTATTCAGGCAGACATTATTTCCTACTCCACAGAGGCTTCTTAACAAATACAAGGGTAAACAATCACCATAATTATCTTTAACAACTTGTTTCCATTACAGCAAAGGCTTTATTACAGTTTGAAAGACTGATGTACTGGGGAGAAAGGCACCAGGATTATTGGTTTTACTATTTTTTGAATATGGCACAGAGGAGATAAGTCAAGTTCCCACTCAGGAGTTTTTAAAACCTCTCATCTTGGATCAGTGTGGCTTCTTGGTGAGGTATCCTGGTTTAAAGCTTAAAGCATTTCTCATTGTATCTATGGATAGTCACACAGCCATGATAGGACACTGGCCTGGGCATTGCAGCTACCCCTGTGATGATACTTGTCGCAGGATCATAACAGAGAATAGTGTCTGTGGCTTCTCCATTTTCCCGTCTTCCACCCAGGATATATATTTTACCATTACACACAGACATACCACAGTTTTCCTGTTTAACCAAATACATAAAAAAAAAAATTAACTGTTGCAGATAAAAAATTTGGTAACAAACTGAAAAGTAAAAAAAAGACATTTAAACACAATCAAAAAAAGGGAAACATAATATAAGTTAAGCTACTTTTTGCCCAATTCCCGTCCTGTGTGTGGGCACTAGATAATTCTGTATGCATGGAGTGAATAGAAATATATATTATATGTTAGTAATTGGGGCCAAGATGTGAAGGCAGGATGGGCATGGTAGACTGACATAGAAAGGCTTAACTTAACAATTATGAAACAAAACCTCTTTGAAAAACAGTTGCTTCTACTAATTCTACCGAGGAAGTTGTTGTTGTTTTTTAATATCATAGAAACTAGCTATTACCTGACCACAGGTAGGAATCTTATTCACTTTATAGAACTACCCACAAGTTGAATGAAGGAATGAGAGGAAGAGTTATACCAAATTAGCTATAACCAAATATTAGTTATAACCAAATCACAGAAATGATCCAAATAACATTTTAGTTATCTTTGCCTATAATGGTATTCTTAGCTTAAGTTTTACTCTTGTGTGGCAATAATATAGTAACTACATAAAATAATTATTTTTGTGAAAAATGAGAGTGATTTTTCAAACAAATAAACAATACTAAAATTTATCTCACTTTTACATGGACTTATTTATGCTATAAGTCAAATACTCTATTTACATTTCATTTTACTTCAGAAAATTAATATCTTGTAATATTGTATCTTGTTATTGTGGTTTCACATCATCTATAACGGAAACAGTTCTACCAATGAGTTCAATAAACATTTTCACTGGCCAGATTTGCTACATATAGATTTTCCTCTTATAGAAAAAATCTAAATTGTGGTGGATTTGCACAATCTTCAGGTCTGAAAGCATCACTGAGTACTTAAAATACCTGTATTAGAATTTATATGTGAAAATGAAATGGCTTGTTAACATTAATGAATGATATTTTTATCTTGAGTGAAACCCATGAGCTACGCAAATTATAAGTCAAACTAAAGCACAATGAGCTCTTTCTATAAATTCTAAAAGTTCTGAATACAATAAAACAATGACAAAAATATACTTAATTTTCAGGTACAAGCTATGTTGAATATTGAATGGTATAATTACTTTTATGGTGATTCTAAAGCAATGTGTCATTACACAATCTGGTTATTAATATTTCAGATAATAATGCTCAGAATTTAAATGAATGAAGCAAGCCACCTTGAAAACAAATATTCATTCATACTGGGAAATTATTTCTACCAGATAAAATTGTTTATTTCACTCTGTAAAATACCTACTCTTTACTCTGTGTATATGTATACTATATGAAACACTTATTCTTTACTCAAAGGGTAGCTAGTGGCAAAAATAATTGATCAATATATGAAGTTTTAATGTTATTTTTAAAGACTAAAATTAAATGATTCTTATATTATTAAAAATCTTCTCTTTAATTACTTTTATAAATGCTTAAATGTTAAAATGTTAACCAACAGCACACAACAATAATCAGAGTTATTTTAATTATTCTAAACTTTAATGATATTTTAAATACCTGGTCTACTGAAGAAAGAAAAGAAATCTTCATAATTGACTTAAAAAACACCCCTGCTGCTGGGCATGGTGGCATACCACTGTAATCCCAGCTACTTGGGAGGCCAAATTTGAGGCCAGTCTCAGCAATTTAGTGAGACTATATCTCAATATAACAACAACAATAAAAAGAAAACATATAAAAAGGACTGGGGATGTGGCTCTGTAGTTAAGTGWTCCTGTTCAATTTCTGGTACTAAAAAGAAAAAAAAAAAGCCCACAAAAACCCCCCAAACCTATAATTTTTTAACAAGGACATTTCTAATGGGGGTTAGAAAGCAGAAAGCAAAATATGTTTAGAATATAAAATTGTGACCTTAAGGAATTATGCAAAGTTGAGAGGCATGGGAATGGTGAAGAACAAATAGAGAAATAGGTTGGGTCCATAAGGACCATTAAAAAAAAAAGTTAAAAAGTTAAAAAGTTAAAATATTTTCAACTCTTTGTTACTTAATATTTTGAGCATTAAAAAAGCAATAGTTTTAGATTCATTTCTCATTTTATTGTCTACCAAAAAATTAGAATTATCTTTTTCACTGATTAGCATTAAAAGGGCAGGCAATTAATACATACATACACTTAGTAATACTGGTAGTGAGAAGGAATGAGGGGAGAGAAAATGATCCCCCAAATCCTGGCACTACATTTGAACTTCAATAKTCTTTGTAAAATATAATATACTTCTGATCCAAATGTTCCTTTCCCTTGAAATTTCTGAAATCTATGTTATTCACTGTTTAGAGAAAATGTGCCATGATGTCCTGTTGTTGATATTTTTTGGTTATGTCAACCATCCAATTAAAAATATATTCATTGTATGCTCTGCATTATGTTTATGTGGTAATTAGCTTCCTAACTAAGCTCTCTTAATCATTTTGTACAGTATAATCAAGTTTCTAAAGAACAGTGATCTTTAGTAAAAATGAATTACTCTTTAAAATATTCATAAAACAAGCCAATAAAAGACATTTTAGATTAAAACTTCATTTCCTCTTAAATGTAATATGAGAAGGATAAAAGATTATATTCACTCCATATTCTGAAGCTGAAGATCATATTATGTCTCTTTTATCAGTTGGGATAATGTTAGTCTGAATACATTATTAAGTGGAGACCATAACTCAATATCAACAACTTTAAAAAGATTGTGTTATACTCAAATCCTCTTAATTATCCTTATAGTTCTATGTTATATCTCTTGTGTATCTTGAATGTAAGATTATCTTAAAATTAGGTTCTTCATTTACTTTACTTTCTCATTTGCTTACTTACTCAATATTTACTGAACATGAATAAATCCAAAATACATTAAGAGATGAGTTAGAATAGTATTCTCAAGAAGGCTGAAGACCAGCATGGAAAATACTCAATTTATACCCATTAGGGAATATGTTAGTGTCATATAAGTGTTGGAAGTTGTAACATCAGAAGGAAAACACAATCAGTTCTGGCCAAAGTAAAATCAGTTTGTTGTAACTATGAAGTTTGTTTCTGAAATGAATAATTACAAATAGAGAAGGTTTTTTTTWAAAAAAAAAGGTTCATTAGAAGCTAAGGAGGAGACAGCGAGAACCAAGACAAGAATATATATGACCTGTTTAGAGAACACAAGTAATGAGCAAGGTACAGTGGTGCACGCCCATAATCCCAGAGACTTGGGCAGTTGAAGTAGGGGGACCATGAGGTTTGAGGCTGGCCTTGGCAACTTAGTGAGACCCTGTCTCAAAATTTAAAAAGGAAGAAGGAAGGAAGGGAGGGAGGAAGAGAAGAAAGAGGGAAGGCAAGAAAGAAGGAAAAAAAAAAGAAAATCGGGATTGGGAATGTAATTGTGATACAGTTATAGAAAGTGAGGCTGAAAAGGCAAAGAAAAGATTCTTAAGAGAAGGTCTAGAATGAAGTGATAAAACAAGTAGGTTTCCAGTCAAGGGAGAGATGAATTTACATGTGTAAAGAAAAGATCTGGTGGCAAAATGGTTCAATTTAATAGATTGGTTCAATTTAATAGAAAGTGAAGAATATCTAATAAATTACATTTCTAAGTTGTTTGGAGACACAAAAAAAGTAAGCTTGGCAAAGAAGGTACATTTTAACTAAGTCTGAAGTCTTGGGCACCCATGGAAAATAGACAGCTGGAAATTGGAGTCTGGAGCGCAGGAGAGAGGCTTTGGTGCAGATCAAGACTTGAAGTCTTCAGTACTGGGTAGCAGATGAAATCATTCAGGAATAGACTATATACTGGGAAGAGGTAAGGGGAAAGGGGCTCAAACAACATTCATATTTAAGGACTGAGTAGAAAAAATTAAGAAAAATATGAAAGAGACTTAAAGAGATTACTAGTAGTGACTGTGAGAGTACAACATTTTTAAGTGGTTATAAGTAGAGCCAGATTTCCAGCATCAAAAGCAGCATTTTGCTAGAAGGAAGGTAAACAGAGCCATGATTCAAAAGGTTGAGGGAAGGTCTTTTGGGGAATGGCAGGGATAAGGGAGTGGGCTCCAGGTGGAAACGCACAAACCATGTCCTTTATAACAAAAACAACAAATGACCTAGTTGCTAACCAGAAAAGCATCCATATGAGAATATTTCTTCAAAAATATTAAAAAGGGGATGAAGACAAGAATAGGGTTCTGAAAAAGGTTAAAGGGAATAAAAAAATCAATAGATACTTCATCTTGGGATGGTAAAAAGGAAGTTATTTAAAAAAAAAATTCCCTGGAATGAGTTCATAAAAGTTTTATGTGGAACTTTAAAAAAATATGAAGTTCAAGTAAATAGGTAATATTTTAAAAGTAAAATTCCAGTGGATTAATAGTAGTCATGTGCTTGGTCCCTCTTAAGTTTATTTGTCTCCTGGACTGTTTTACAATATTACCTGTCGGCTGAATGTATTCTGTACATGCATCCAGTAGTCTTCAACTGGATCATAACAGTATATTGTCTTGGTCAGTCCACCAGCAACATAGATCAGGTTGTTTAAGGAGACAGCTGTTATACACCTCTTGGCAATTGGGATAGCTGCACGAAGTAGCCAAGAGTTGGTTTCTGGATCATAAGATTGAACCTAATAATATATAGAAACACTTAATTAAAGTTTCTAAATAAATTAGTAAATTTACTTAATAAAAGGTCTACCAATACACAGAAACATGATTCAAAATAAAATTCCATTTGTTCAGAGAATTAAAGGAGGAGGTTAGCCTCACAGTGAAATGTGTATATTTAGAATAAATTCTCCAAAAAAATACAAATTTATTACTATGAAGCAGAAAAAAGTAATAAATGCACACTGTTTCCAGGATGAAGGGCCATCAGGTTAGTTTTACTTATTTCCACTGAAATTAGCAGTCTAAATTTTTAAAAATTGCCTTATGTGGAATAATCATTCCTCAATCTGAAAATAATTTCTTTGTACTTTTAAGGAGTCCTTTCTTAAAAAAAAAATACAAGTAGACCTCAATTCAATAAGTTATTGTAAGTTCTGAATTCATGAATTCTAAGTGACATTTGACCACACTGTATTGAAATTTAACTTAGAAAAAGAATTAATCGATTGACAAAATTAAGGTAACATTTATAGATCAATTAAGCATTAGATACTTTTTCCCCCACAATAAAAATGGTGTTTCCTGAGATGTCAGGACCACATATGTTCTTTTGTCTCAGGAATTCAATGAACTGCAAGTTACTGTGAGCCATCCTCTATTTACATTGCAGGGGCTCCTTTTCCTCCTTTTTGTTCTAAAAATACTTTGAAAGTATGCACAAAAATGACCTAGTTGGAAGCAGTGTAATTAGTCATTGTGCTTTATCCTGGGCTAATTCACTTCCCAACTGTGTTGCATGTGAATAATTTAGATTCTGTAGATGATAGCAGTAAAATTTCAGTACTGAGATTAGTTTTATTTCAAACATCTTTAATTACACTTGTTATGAAAAGTGTTTAGATATTGTAGGGTCTCGCTTTAACAACACAAAATTCAGAGGTTTTCCCCAAAAGAATAAGGTACCAGAAAATTTTTAAAAGATCTTTCACACTAAGCAACCTAACTACCTACTGGATAAACTTTCTGTCTTTCCCTTTTTATATATATTTTTGGTAATTTCTTTATAAGAACATGGCTTATGGTTTGGGGACATGGATCAGTGGTATAGAGCATTCTCAGCATGCTCAAGGCTCTGGGTTCCATCCACAGTAAAGAGAGTAGGGGGCAGGAGCACTGACTTACCTTATCAGAACAAGTATTATCATCAGGTCCTCCACCAATCACGAACAATTTGCCTACACAGCTAGTCACTGCAGGAGAACTCACTGCTTCCTTAAGGGGAGCTACTTCAGTCCATCGATTTGAAAAGGAATCATAACACTCTACGCTGCTAAGTCTGTTTTGTCCATCATAGCCTCCTACGACGTATACCTATATGTAAAATACATAAAAACACTTAAATATCAAAAGTCCAAATTTTGAACTAGTTGGTTAAAGAAGGGATTTCCTCTCTTTAAAAGCCCTTGATAAATATCTATAACTGCAATATATTTAACCCAGAGCTTCCGTGTCGTCTTTTTTTTTTTTTTTAACACTACCATGAAGCCTTAAAGACTCTTTTTTTCCCCTATTGAGACCACTTTGGATGAAATTTTAATATCACAGATATACTGTTTATTTGTTGTCTCACTGTATGTGTATCTGTACTTTATACATGAAAGCTTATGACTTTTTTCACACCCCCACTTCAAGAACAAATTTTCACCACTTCCTTGGTGATCATGGAGAACTGCATGATTTACCTTAAGTGTTCACACTCATGGATGATGAACTATTTGATTTTCATAAAGTAATAAACTATGAAACTAAAATATTAGGTAAGGATTATTAGATTATGAGAATTTGGAAGACAGGGCCTATCTTTTAGTACCTGATGCATAATGAATTTATAATCTTCACTTCAAAGAGCTTTAATGTACATTTTCACTTTACAAACAGGAGGAAGGCAGGGCAAATCAATATCTTTATATGAAAGATATCTGGAGCTTTTTTAATTTTAACAAAGCTCTCCGTGTTTCCTTTAATGAGCAGTCGTCATCAACTCTTCCTTCATATCTGATTAATTTAATTAAGTTCTATTTATATCTATCTATATCTTCTTTCACACATCTCTTGTATCTGCCCATTCCTTTTGTCACTACCACCATCCTACCTTAGGGTCCACATGATTTCAAACCTCAAATAACCTCCTGATCTCCATTCTTGTGCTCTGGAAACTTATAGATTAATTTTCCTAAAACACTTCATCAATTCCTTTTTTTTTTTTTTTTTTGTTATTGGGGATTGAACCCAGGGACCCTTAATCACTGAACCATATCCCCAGCCCTTTTTTTAATTTTCTTTAGAGTCAGGGTCTTACTAAGTTGCTTAAGGCCTCACTAAATTGCTGAGGTTGGCTTTGAACTTGTGATCCTCCTGCCTCAGCCTCCTGAGCTTCTGGGATTATAGGCAAGCACCAAAGCACCTGGCCATCAATTCAACAGTTCAACAACGAATCCCAAGGGCCAAAGCCAAACTTCACATCTTGTCATTAAAATTTGTCTACAATTTATCTTTCAATGTTCCTTTAAATTTTTACAGAAGCTAATGTCACTTCTGTCATGCATTTCTCACATTATGTTATGATGACCTAATGGTGGATTTGTGCCCAGAACACCATACAGCTCAGGAAGGTAAAGTGACTTATAAAAGGTTGTGCAGCTCTAAGTGGTATGCAGTTTCAAGGAACAGGACAGCTGGGTTCATATCTAGCTCCGCCTCTCCATATATAGCAATTAATCTTCTCAGAAACTCAGTTATTTATTCACTCAGTTAAAAATGTACCCAAGAGTACTTATCATATAACCTTAGAGATTAAACTTTAGTACATACTCCTATACATATAAATGAAAAATGCACACCATGAGCATCAAGACAGAAGGGCTCTAGAGTGAGAAAATCTGAGCTTTTGCCATTGCTTTATCTGTGTAACCTTGGGCAAGGTTTTCCTTATAAACTGACAAAGTTATAGTAAATATCCTCTTTCTATATTCTAAATTCTAAGTCATCTTAGGTTTCCTTATAGAGAGTATTACAATTTTTAAATATATTCATAGATTTGAATTCAGCCTCTATTTTAATTTTTAGGATAATGGTTTCCATGAATTGGGTACCTGCTGTGTAAAACAGAAATGATTCTTCTTATTTCTTGATTTAGCACCTTAAGCTTTGGGTACCTTTGAGTCAAGTATTTGTCAAAAAAATCTGAATTTACTAAAACATAATATTTTTTGATGCATCAATCATTTTCATTTGTCTATGTCCAGATTAAATAATTACAAATTATACTTTTAGTCAGAGCTCATCTCCTTTTAACCCCTCAATTATTTTAAAGTCTCTTTCCTAGTAATTCTTTGTCATTCTTTAGGCATAGCTACCAAAACCACATAGAATATAGTAGGTATGAGCACATCAATGGTTTTCAAAAAGATTTCTACTGATATTTTATTTCCAGTACATCAATCACAATTTTTCATAGGCTTTGTTGATAGCTGCAGCATATATGATATTACAGTCTCTAGTAATCAACAATAGCTTTTAAACTGTGTTTTGGGAAGCTCTAAGTGTCCACAGTATAGAGACTTCAAGAAGCCTCTTGTGGGAATATAGGGCAAGAAAGACTGATAGGGGTCTGAGTAGGAAATTCTAAGCCAACATCTTTGATTCAATTAGAAAAGTTCTGGTTTTTTAAGTGGCTCTGAAATGTCTCACTGTAAGGCCTTAAAGGTAGTGATTTTTTTAGAAAGAGGTTCGAGGGGACCAATCAAAGAATTATGTGYAGTTAAGTATCTCGAGATCCTCACTTAGATTTTTCATTCATTTAAGTTGGCTTTGGAGGCGCTCACAGAGATGCTGGCAGGGAATGGCTACAGACTCTGAATTACTCCCTAATACAGCTGCTAAAGATAATCTGTTTAATGTAATGGGTTTTTAATATAAGATTTAACTTTTAAAAAGAGTATACAGTTCTTTAAAAGGTTAAGAAGGCTAGTATATGGTTCTTATCCTATATTGTATGTATTTTAATAATATTCATTATCTTTAGTCAATAATACATTTTCTTTAAAATATGTTGATGTTTATCTTGTTATTTAAATTTGTTTTGTCCTTACTTGTACAAAAAAAAAGATAAAGTAACATCATTTTAGATAAGTAAATCTTAGCTTGCCTGCCAAATTCAGTAAAAGGAAAAAAAATTTTGCTTGGATTAGACATTGCCCTTTTGATATAACTCCTTTCTTTTCCAATTCTTAGGCATTTGGATTCCAATATGCATGAGAAAAGATATGTGCTACATTGCCATGAATTCCAAGTTGGGAGAACAAAATATCCATTCAAAATTACAGTGTCATATTGTTTATATCTTCAGTTTATCTACTGTGGTTAGGAATGGAAGGAAATACTATTTGAATCCAAAACACCCAAAGGGAAAGTGAAATGCAGGACTTAGCTGTGGTATTTATTTTGGAAATGTACCAGCAATAGTAATAAAAATGGTTTCTCTTACTTTACCAAGGAGGACAGCCATTTTGTGACGCCATCTGCCTTTATTTAGAGAGGCAACTCTGATCCAAATATTTAACTGTGAGTTATAAATCCAGACATCACGACTATTGATTCTTCCACCTTTAAATGCAAAACAGTGCACATGGAATAATATATCACTATATATTTATCATCAAGAGATCTATGCCACCAAAGCACAGGAGGCAATTCATAAATTTGAGAATTAAGTTCAATAAATGAAAGAAAGACGCTCTTACAGCTTAATAAAAATAGTTCTACAGAGCAGATTTAAACTTTGTCAATTATAATCTTGAGAAGTAATGATTACAGGTCTTCTTAAAATAAAATACAGAATATGAGTTTTACAAATATATGACTGTTAATTTAGAAGTCAGATATCAGTACCCATCAAATAATTTTTTTTTTTTTTAAATTACTGGGGATTGAACTGAGAAGCACTTTACAGCTGAGCTACGTCCCCAATTTTTTTTTTTTTTTTTTTTTTTGGGTGGGGGGAGGTGGTACCAGGGATTGAACTTAGGGGCACTCTATCACTGAGCCATATCCCCAGCCCTATTTTGTATTTTATTTAGAGACAGGGTCTCACTGAGCTGCTTAGTGCCTCACTTTTGTTGAGGCTAGCTTTGAACTCATGATCCTCCTGTCTCAGTCTCTGAGCTACTAGGATTATATGCCTACACCACTGCCCCTGGCTGTTTTTAATTTTTATAAGACAGGTTTTCACTAAATTATAGAGGTCGGCCTCTAATTTGTGATATTCCTGCCTCAGCCTCCTGAATTGCTGGGATTATGGGTGTACACCACCATGTCTAGTGCCAATTAACAGACTTTTGAGCATAGATTCAATAGTTATATTCTATATTATCCTTATCCTTTTTTGCAGGGGGTGCGGTGAGAACTGGAGATTGAACCCAGGGGCATTCAACCACCCATTTAATTATGTGAGCCATATCCACAACCCTGTTTTCATTTTTTAATTTTGAGACAGGGTCTAGCTAAGTTGTTTAGGTCCTAAGTTGCTGAGGCTGGCCTAGAACTGGTGAACCTCCTGCCTTAGCCTCCTGAGTTGCTGGGATTATATGGTGTGCCACCATGCTCAGCTCATTCTATCTTGTGACTATTTTTAAAAGAAAAATATTATTTTTAGTTTTATTTGTTGTATAAAAAGATTTGCCTAAAGTGAGCATATTCACATTTCACTATTTTCTTTTAAGACACTATTGTTGTTTAAAACAGTCAAGTCATATCCAAATGAAAAGCAGCTAGCAACTCCAGTGATCCTTTATTTACCTGAAACAAGAATGTCATTCCTTAGAGCGCAGACTGCATACTCTGATTTGGTAAATTCTGGAAGCTTAGCCAAAGACTTCCATTCTCCTGTTACAGGATCATAACACTCAGTATATGGAAGGTTAAATCCTCCAACTCGTTCACAGCCTCCAACAACAACTATCACCTCTGAATAGCCAGTGGACCTAAAATAATTATTGTAAAAATGCAAATAATAATAAATATTAAAATGTATTCAAAATTTTTTAAAATCCTAAAAACAAACCACACATTGTCATAACAAACAGTTAAGTTTATTCTCTGTATACGTGCCAAAAGTACAGAATGGCAGTTACTTACTTGAGAATATTTACCACAGAAAATGTCTATGGATATTTTTTTCTATGGGTTTTGACCTAAAAATGGTAAACCAGTCAAACGAGCCTATCTAATTCACTAATATTTAAACTAATATTAAAGATATTATCAAGTAATATTAAGAATGACTTTCAAATGCAGTTTTGCAGCAATTCAGATATATATAACAAGGGTAAGATAATGGACTTTTTCTAACTGTAGGAAAATGCTGTTTTTTTTAATCAGACTGTTCATTCTAAAAAACTAATTAATGGGTTTGATCTAGGCACCCTTTAAAGAAGTTTATGTGACCCTTTATGCCCTGTGAAAACAACAAAAACCATTTACATATGAACCTGGAAGTGACCCCCTCTAGATACTGAATTTGCTGACACCTTGCTCTTGGATTTCCCAGTCKCCAGAATTGGGGGAACTGAGAGAACTGAATTTCCATTGTTTATAAGCCACCCAGTATGTGGTATCCTGCTATAATTCCTGAGTGGACTAAGATACCTTGATAATACATGCTTAATAAAAATAAGAAAAATAGTCTAGTTATCTAATACTAGGCAAATAGACTGACAATGAGAAAAATTCTAATTCAAGGAAAGTTTAAAAAAAAAAGGAGGAGCTAGAGTTGTGGCTCAGTGATAGAGCGCTTGCCTTGCATATGTGAGGCATTGGGTTTTATTCTTAGCACTATATAAAATAAATAAATAAGTAAAATACAGGTATTGTGTCCATGTTCAACTAAAAATATAAAACAGAAAAGAGAAAGAAGTTTATGTATTTGTTCAGAAGTAAATTTTAAAAATACAGAGTAAGTAAATTAAGGTAATCTAACTAAAAGTGTCAGGTAGTCAGTAAAAATGCAGACAACAAAGGATGTTAAAGGGGAAAAAACACAAAATAAAAAATTATAGTTAAGAGTGTATTCAATGGTATATTAAAAATGTATCTGAGAAAAAAATCCACCAAAATGCAGATGAAGGTTGTTTCTGAATGGTATTGTGCTCCACTTTCTATCATTACAATTTTCAAATTGACAGTAAATACAGTCTATTTTTAGAATGGGAAAAATAAAAAAGAAGAAACACCTTTAAGACCATGAAGAGAATCCTAATGGTTCATGCTAGTCACTGGCCTCAACTAAAGATACACAGGAAAAACAAATGCTTAACCAAGATCTCTTTGTTCATAAGCTTCAATAGACAGCTTTAGAATTTTAAAATTCTTTGTCTTTTGTATTTGTTCAGAAATTTAATCTAAATGAAAAAATCTTGTGATTACATTTTATGGTTACTACAAGTCAAATCTCATTAAAAATTTTCAATAATCTCTCTTCTTTTTCTTCACTGATAATGGCATTTATTCTGGCAAGAATTGTGCAGTTTGCTACAAGAAAGATAAGATTTGGCATTTATGATCCATTTTACCGTGCCTCAAATGCAGAAACAGATTTTCTTTCATAGTTGAAATATAGCTTCATGGTTTCCCCAACATCTGTGCTGCATTTCTCAGCTAAAAACCAGACTGAGTAAGTTATATATAATCCCTCTTCTCTTAATTAAATGTGGAGAGAAAATAAGACCACATCAGAATGCTGATAGTTTTAGTCAATTATACCATAAAATTACTAAATACTGTCACTGGGGCTAACTGTTTTAATGTAAAATCCAGAGTAATAATTATAGAACATTGGTTTTATACTTCACTTATAAGCTTGTAGTTTTGCCTATATTGAAGGTCCTATCTGTAACCAAATAGTCTTTAACTTAATTGATACAAGTCCGGTGTTCTCACCACAGTGTGTTAACCCAATAAAATAGATCTATTTAATTAATTAATTAATCTATTTTTTTGGAGGTGCTGGGAATGTAACCAGGGTCTCACACATGCTAAGCAAGTGTTCTGTTATTGAGCTATATCCCTAGTACTATTTCATTAATTTTTTTGAAGTAAAGTTTTTGATCTTCTACAATGATGAAATAAATATCTGCTGCTCTAGCATTAAGTTTTGCCAGTTCTCCCTAGGAAGGCATAACAAAATGGTTCTTTTTAAAATAATATATTTTTAAAAATCTTCCTTTCTTTTATCATACATTCCAAAAGGTCCTTTTGATAATAATATATTTTTTAAAATTTTCCTTTTATTTCATCATAAATTCAAGAAAAGGTCAAATTTATATGATTTATGTGAAAGATAAAATAATTATAAATTTACAGATATTCTAAACCAAATCAACAAAAATGTAGTAATTACCAGATTCAGTTAAAATCTGAAAAGGTAAAATATAGGAACTGCTATCTGAAATAACAGACCTACTTATAAATCAATGTCAAATATGCCAGAAACAGATGAACTCCCAAACTTTCATCAACAACAAGGGTTGAAAGATGATCCTGACTAGTAACAAAATGGATTTTTAAGAAACACAACAAGGAAAGGAAGTGTGTTCCCATTTATTAGGAAATCAGAAAGGAGGGGTAGGGAGAGATGTTAGTGATAGAGTCTATTCACCATTCTAAGACTTAAAAATATATGAAAATCAAACCATCACTAGGTCTAAGGAAACAGTATGATTCTCTAGTTTATAACATATTACACTACCAAATTCAATGTGTTGATTCATCTAAAGATAGAAAAGGGGATTGATAAGCCCTAAAAACAATAAATAAATGAACAAATGAATAAAAGAATAAATAACAATCACAAAGGCAAATATTTGCTGTACCCAGGGAAAAGAGAATCTTAGGTAAGGTGACTTGAACATTATCTTTTCTTTGCCAAGAATATTTTAATGCTGGGTGAGAGAGTTCCTCGAGTTATATTAGCTGAGAGGACTCTGGTTCTAAAGACCCACCGACTCCCTTTGTTTAGATTCCATGTTTGCCAAACAACCTTTGAATACTTTGGCTTCCCATATAGGGACTTGCCTATAGTAAGAGAACATACTGGGCAGATTGCTTTAACATTTTGAATCTCTTGACAGTTCCATTTCTCACCACAAATAGATTTACACAGACTAGAAGATAAATGAGTTAATAATCTCTCATAGTGAATGTTAAATCTGTCCCTAACAGTTTGATCTCTTCCTAATTTCTAAACCTGGTGAGGACACAGACCACCTGTGTGGTGAGGCTGTCTACCTGAAAGGCAATAGGCAGAATGGATTTTCTGAGGAAATGGCTGTATTGATCAGAATCAGTTAATTAATAAGTTCTCAAGAACTAACCACAGATGTTTTTAAATACTGAGCAACAAAGATGTTCATCTTAAAGTTTGAAAATCAGAAATAGCTGGATCCAGTGACTTATGCCTATAATCCCAGCTACTTGTGAAGCTGAAGCAGGAGGATCCTAAATACAAGGCCATTCTGGGCAATTTAGTGGGATCCTATCTAAAAAAAAAAAAAGAAAAAAAGAAAGAAAGAAAGAAAGAAAGGAAGGAAAAGAAAAGAAAAGAAAAGAAAAAGAAGAGAAGGAAAGAAAAGAGAAGAAAAAGGGCCAGGATGTAGCTCAGTGGTAGTATATTTGCCCAGTATGTAGCAGGTCCTAGGGTTTAATCCCTAGTACAAAGGGGGAGAGGGATCAGAAACAGCTTAAATGTGCATGATGATGGTGGTTATGGTATACTGTACTAGATTTCATATTATGGAACCACCTTTAACAAATATTGAGTAATGAAAAACAAAGTAAGAAAAGGATTACAATGCTACACATGAAATAATAAACTTATAGAGGGAAAAAAAAGAATAAAGATGTAACTCAGAGTACCTGCCTAGCAGTTTGGCCAAAAAGAGTGTGTGAGAGAGAAAGAATAAAGCCAATCACCTCTTACAGGTAAGACAATGGGTAATATTTTTTGATTATATTTTCTAATTTTTCTCCAATTAATGTAAATTACCCTAGTCCTAATCTRCCCAATCTAAGAACAAACTAAATAAAAATTAGACCGTACTACTAACAGCCACCATTTGGTTTCTTTTCAGCCTAGCATGCTTTTTAGTCATCAGACTTCTGCTGCTTCTTCCTGTTCCCATGGCCAGAAAAGATTGTCTGGCTCATTCAGAGATCCCTCTCCCCAAGAGGAGAGATTCAGTCTGAGTGATTGAACTTGTAATATATAAACTCCAAACCCGTGAGAGGCCATTTTCAGCAAGATTAATGAAAGAAAATTATGCATACATGCCAAGAATAGAGGTGAGAACAGAAGACAGAATGCACACCTTGGTATTTGGGTGGGGATGGGTGCCAGGGATTGACCTTAGGGGCACTTGACCACTGAGCCACATCCCTAGCCCTATTTTGTATTTTATTTAGAGACAGGGTCTCACCGAGTTGCTTAGCAACTTGCTTTTGGGTGAGGCTGGCTTTGAACTCACCATCCTCCAGGGTTGCTGGGATTATAGGTGTGGCTACAGTACCCAGCCAGCTTGGTTTTTGATGGCTTTTTAGTAGCCTGTTCCATAAGGTCCTGTTGAATTTTTGTTCCTAGGTTCTACAAGATACAGTCTCCCTTAAATACATTTGCCTTTTTGGGGGGGGGGGCAGGGAGGGAGGAAAGGGGATACTGGGAATTTAACCCAGGGGCTATTTACTGCTGATCTACATCTAAGCCCTTTTTATATTTTGAAACAAAGTTTAGCTAAATTGCTAAGAATGGCCTTGAACTTGTGATCATCCTGTCTCTACCTCCCAAGCCTCTTGGATTTATATTTGCCTTTTATGAAAAAAAAAGTTTCTATTATTCACAATCCAGAATTCTGATACATCATTAGAGTTCAATGAATTGCAGGAAAAAATACAAATGGCTTTTATACTCAGGAAAAATGTGAAAATCTTCCAC